ATTGGGTAATAAGAGATTACAATATTTATTATGAATAAAACAATTACGTACAATACCTAGATATTCAGAAAAGATTAAAATACCTTCGATATACTAAAGAGAGATCAAGATATAGTCCGATCAATGAAGAAATTTATTGAGTGTAACGATAGTTTGTTTCAAATGAAGTTACCAACACAAATGCTCAGTTAACAATGCAACATTAAACAGATTCTTTTCATTACATTTTGTTTTACCTTTCGTATTAGCTGCTTTAGCACTAATGCACTTAATAGTTTTACATGATACAGCTGGATCAGGAAATCCTTTAGGTGTGTCAGGAAACTATGAAAGAATATCTTTTGCCCCTTACTTCATATTTAAAGATCTTATTACAATTTTTGCATTTATATTTGTATTATCTTTATTTGTGTTCTTTATGCCTAACGTATTAGGTGATAGTGAAAACTATGTTATGGCAAATCCTATGCAAACTCCTGCAGCTATAGTTCCGGAATGGTATTAAAGAAGATGCCATTTTAAAATCTCGCTAATTGCTGGAAAATCCTACGTGCGCTAACTAAAGTATAGTTATAAAGTAGGACAATCAGCAGGAAACCAAAGGCTAGATAAATATCCTAGTAGGATCCTCAGAGACTACACGCGAGACAATTTAAATTAAGAGAACTTGTTTTAAGTTTTTATTAAGTATACTTATAAAGGTATACGATCTATCAAAAAAATGATAAAAAAAACAAAAGTAGCATAAATAATTTAAATTGAAGATATAGTCCTATCATAGAATAAATTCTATGTATTTAACAATTAAAATTCGTATTAATTCTTTATTGTTCACACCTAGTCCTGTGTTATTGGCTGCTCGTTATACTAAAGGGATTGTATGTATGTCTACTAGTGAGCGAGCATTGATTAAATTACCGACGGAAGTCCAAGAAACATTAATAGTAATATTACTAGGTCATGGCCACATTTCTCGTAGATCATCTATAGCTAACTCTAGATTAATATATGCACAGACTGCGGTTACACATAAAGAATATTTTGATCATGTATTTAACATATCCCTACCTTTTTGTGTTAACCCTTATGTTCCTCAATCTAAGATAGTAAGAGATAATAGAACTAAAAAAACTTATAGTGCTATATCTTTCACGACAATGCAACTTCCTTGTTTTAATGTATATAAAGATGATTTTTATATATTAAATGTGCAAATTGTAGCTAATAACATATATGAACTGTTAACACCAAGAGGGTTAGCCTTCTGAATAATGGATGATGGATCCAAACATGGTGATGGCTTACATATAAACGTTTATGCTTTTAGTACTACAGATGTAGATAAACTTATGTTTACATTACAAGATAAGTTTAATCTTAAAACATCTATACATTATAACAGGGATAAGAAACCTAGAATTTATATATTTAAATAATCAACGGATACGTTGATAAACTTAGTAAAACCTTACTTTGTTAAATAAATATTATATAAACTAGCTATCTAGCCTATTACTTTAATTTATTACAATAAGACGAATTTAGTTGTTAAATTAAAAATATGATCTTCTTCCTTTCTATGCTATATTAAGATCTATTCCTAACAAATTATTAGGAGTTATAGCTATGTTTGCTGCTATTCTTGCATTATTACTATTACCAGTTACTGATGTAAGTAGATCAAGAGGTATGCAATTTAGACCTTTAAGTAAAGCAGCTTTCTTTATCTTTATAGCTAATTTCTTAATATTAATGCAATTAGGTGCCAAACACGTAGAATCACCATTTATTGAATTTGGTCAAATAAGTACTGTTTTATACTTCTTATACTTTACAGTTGTAATGTATGGTGTTACTATGTTAGAAAATACTTTAGTAGATATTAGTTTATTAAATAATGTTAACAACCAAAAAAAGTAATGATCCATAATTACCTGGCTAGAGGAGCGTAGCATTACACTAGAATGTTTGTAGCGGATACTTATGATAAGCCCTGTTTAGACCTTCCTATTCGTATTGAAAGAAAGAATGATCTTGAGAACGATAGGTAGTATAATAGGTTAGCTCGAGCTTATTGGAGATCACGTGGTGAAATTTATAATTTGTATGAGGATAGTCTTTGAATAAATGTTGATAAAAGTATAGACTATGAGATAAGACAGAGAGAAGACAAGTACGCTCTCTATGGTGATAAGAAAACTGCTCGTTTTCATCTAGAAGGTAATTTGTATGAAGTATGGAAAAATTTAGAGCAAAATATAAAAAGATATAAACTATAAAAAAAAGTTCTTTCAAACCACTAAAAATTCTAGATAAGCACCTTAGTATTTTTATTAATAAAAGCTATCAATAGGGGAATTATGAACCTAGATGAAAACTCCATCTTTTTATAGAGATTAACCACCATGTTACCCTTTATACCTACCCTATACCTTGTACTTGTTGTATATATTGTAAAATATTAGCAATAATACTATAACAAATCCCATTGACAAAAATGGATTGCACCCTAAA